GGTTTGTTTTCATGAGTCCTGATGGGCCCCTGTTTACATGTTCCTGGGCCCTGCAGTCATGATTATCTGTCTGTGGTTTCTCTCTGCACACTGCTGCTAAAATGATCAGGTTCAGAGAAGCTCCCCATGTAACAAAACATGTTTCTGTGTCACATTACATCACCGCATTAACGGAGAACTCCTCTGGAACGCAATTAAAATGGTTTAACGTTTCCGGCTGAAGTCAAATAAAAGGAGCTTGAGGGGATTTTCAGCTCACTCCATTACTTCCTACAGATCGGGTTCACTGTGCATTCATAGTTTTTGTTCAAACCCTGAGCTACAGATATCTGGAAATGGTTTTAGGGCAAAAGTAAAAATAGGTTTCTAGAAATCCAATCTGACAGCAGAAAATCCTTAAACTATCTGAGAATAATTACCTCCTGATAACCCAGAGTGAGGAAAGAAGATGTCAGAACTTTAAAGCAAGAGATTGAGATTCGCCACAAGGTTTAAAGACATTTAAATACAGTTACAGACTTTTCATCAGCCACAACAAATCCTCATGAATGCCTCCCCATTGAGCAAAAACACAAAGCAAAGGCTGCTAAAGGTTATTAGTCCTTTCTTGGAGTTTGATCGATGTTGTTGTGATCCTTTCAGAGCCAGTATTAGTCAGTAAGCCTGTTAACGTCTCTGCTCCTGACGGTCCAGTCCACACAACCGGTTCTGTTGGCTGAGCAGCTCTTTCCTAATGCTTGCTTCACACGGCAAGATTTTCAATCCAATTATTGTCAAAAATCGGAGGGATGCCCCAATTATCTTGATGGCTCTAAATATAATCTTAAGGAATCTTCCTGCCAGGTGTGAAGAGTGATCTGGTCTCCTCAGAAGGACTTTGGGACCGCTAGGGGATGTTTAACATTTTGGACTGGCTTGTTGTCTGAAGTGTTCCTGAACGCAGTCTGATGAACCAGAAAGCGAAATGATGGAAACACGGAGGGAAAAACAAAATACAGAAGACAAAACTACTGCCTGAAAGCCCACTGGACGTCGTATCGGTTCATATCAGTTCGTTTTTCTCTGTTAAATATCGGCCACAAACTATTATCGTTGCTTCTTCCCAGTCGGCCATGTTTGTTTTCTGTGAACTCGCATTTGGTCTCAAGAGGGTTTATAGGATTTCCCAACTGATGCCTGAGTGTTGGTGAGTGAAATCGGGTTGTCACACTGTGAGACCAAACCTGTAATACCTAAGATCTTTCCTCGCCCCGTGTGGTCTCTCAAGTTTTGGAAATCAGCAGACAATTTCAAATCTTCCCTTAAGGATCAGAAGACACATGCTGACACTCATCACTAGCAAGAGAGATTCACGCACACTGTTCTGTGTCACGAAATCCTCAGAAAATGATGAAGACTCTGCTGCCAGGAGTGGATGTTCTTCACCAAGAAGCTCCGGACTGCTGGGGTTGGCAGGATACGTCAATGTGACACGGAGGACTGAACAACACTGGCCAAGTGGTAAACTGGGCTGGAGGTCCCAGGTTTTTAGAAAGGTGAATGAAGAGAGCCTTCAAATCTTTGAGGGATATTTCTCAGCCTTCCTGGTAAAGTTTTCTCTAAGGTTCTTTGAGGACCTCTGGATGCTTCCTCGATATCTAGGAAGCAACTGGGCTACAAGACACCTGGATCAAATGTTTGAATTGAAAGGATTGTACCTCTGGGAGTCTGGTCTCTGGGGAAAGGATGTGTCAACTGATTGTTGAATTTCTGATTCAAAAGGAGAATATGCTGCTCATCCTGGAACAGTGAAGGAGCTATTTATCCATTTTCAGCAAAGCATTGAGCCTCTTCCTAGTCTAAAATGGACCAGACTTTGGGGTACTCAGTGTTGATTATGCCATACGGTGGTATGGCGCGGTAGAGGGATGCCTGTCACTTTACCAACCTGTCAACCAGCTCCCACTGAGATGCTCCAGTTGAAAGGAATCCCAATTTAATGCGAACTTAAACCAGCACAGGTAACATTGGCTCCCTCTGGACCTGTTCATTGGCGATGTCCTCCATCCAACGCCAATGACTTTACACCCAGATTCCTAAAACATCATCATGTAAAACGGCATAGTTAAAGTTCATTATTAGATCAAGAATCATCTTCAACCTGATTTAGTAAAGATGTGAAGTGTCTGTTTGTTGCAACAGTTTTAAAGCCATGGCTGCAGATTTTTGACGATGTTTGAGAGTAAATCAAGTCACAAGATGGTGGATTTCTCTGTTCCTTAGAACAGAAGCTCGTCTGCCTTCAGATCGATTTAACGTCAGAGAAAGATTTCCACAGGATGTCAGACAAAAAGTTGTGGGCTTCCCAGTCAGACAGCCCAGAGATTTTAGCTTCTTCACTCACCCTCTGTGTGTATATAGACCTGTTGGAGGCTGCAGCGCCTCAGGGGAATAACCAGCCTTTAACTCGCTGCTGCAGACATCCTGACAGCTCGTCTCTGGACAATGTTTCACATCAAGCTGACTGAGCTGCTGCTGCAGATTTTAGTCAGGAGGGTGAGAGCAGAAAGACATTGGGAACGCGTGTAACTGACTTATTAGTAAAACATTAGACCGCCGAGGCCCTGACTGAATTTGACCTTCCTCAGTCTCCATGGTGGTTGCCCTGGTTGTAGGATGCTTACAGCTTCATTGGCGAGGATTTGGACCCAAACCCGGCGAAGCTAAGACCTTCATCCGATCAATTAACTTTGAATCATCTTTTATAAATATGATAGATCCCCACCTATTTACAGATTTCATTGGCACTGATTGGTTGCAGAGATAAGAGCCTTCCTCCAAAGACCTTAGCTTCTGTCGTAGAGATAATACAGTTTCCACTCTGCATATTAATGCAAACTGAAGTATGTTTGGTGTTTAAACTGCAGTTATTAGCATTTTAGAGCTGGTCTCGTGTATTTGTGGGGGATTGAGGTCAGCAACCACCATGAATACGACTTCCTATGATTTCCTCAATGGTGGGCACAGCTAACTAAAAAGCTAGCTATGCTAACCCTAAAGCACTAATCATAAGCATTAGTTTTGCTAATGCTAGAGCGCTACATCAACATGGAGTTTAGTTGAAGCTAATGCTAAAGCGCTAACGTCAATTCAAAATATAAAGATTACAACCCTTCAGCACCAATTTAATTTTGACGTAAATTACATGTTCTATAATTCCCTAAGATATTTACATTTACCTCTCGTTCTCTGCTGTCAGTGATTTATTTTGTTCCCGTACGTTTCCTGTTTTAAATAAAGTTATTGGGAATAAAAGAGAGAATGTGAAAGGAAACAGAACTGCAGCCTAAAGAGACTTCAAAATAAGAGCATGAATATAAACGTCAAGCTACTTGAAGAATTCTTAACAGGAGAAACTAAAACTTCAAGCCAAACTTTATTCAACTGAAAGTTGAATTAGCGCTTTATAATTTAGTCCAGAAATGTTAATTTAGGAAAAGATGAGTGAACTAAATATTTTCAGAATTAGTAACAACACTAAATAAAATAACAGCTCAGTTGCTAGCGCCCCCCAGTGGATTGGCTTATTAGATGTTTGAATATATCTCAGTTGTTTAGAGGTGAGAGGATGATAGAAGGGAATATTTAATTTGGAGATTTCCCCTTCAGATTGCTTTCAGAGCCATTGTTTTCTCCCAGTGATGTTTAACGTGGGGAGCAGAAAACGGTGTTAATGTTGAACTGCAGTCGGTGTTTAACGTGTTGGAGGCCGTGGACCTTCCTGAGCTGCAGCAGCTGCCCTCTGCGACCCCATCACTGTTTGCGGTTTATTAACCTCCTTCTTGTTTACAGACTCCAACAAATTGCTGGAAACACTCGGGGGAAGCGCTGCTCTCAGGTCAGCGCCTGTTTGCTGGTTTCTCTCTGTTAGCGCTGCTTATCCTCCCCTGCAGCTCCGCTTTCACTCCACTCTTCACAGACATTAATGTTACATTAAATTTGGGGCTTTTAATGATTTATTTGAGCCATTTTTTACCAGCATGGGATGATTATGCTGCAAAGAAACAGCAATGATTAAAAAAAAAAAAGTTTAGCGCAATTTATGAAGTATTTTCTCTAATTCACACAGGAGGAAAATTGTGCATAAAAGGTCAAAAATATAAATACATTTATTTCTTGGAGAAGCAATTTCACAGTTTATTTACACAAAATGTGTACGACATTTCATTAACCTTTTAGACAGGATTGATGCATGTACCACTTTGTAGCAAAAAAGTTAATTTCCAGCTTCAGGCCCCGACATTTTATTGGTAATCAAGATTTAACAGATTATGAACTGGTGAAAAACCAGTAAAATAAACAGTTCAGATCTCACTGCAACCAGTCAAACCACAACCCAACAGACGGCCCATGAAAACATGTCTCTGCCTTCATCGATGAGTCAAATCTGTTTATTTATTAGCCGTATTTCTGCCAAATGTTCGAACATTTTATAACTATTACAAGTTATAGTCTCACTTGGCAAACTACTCCAGAGGCAGTTTTATTGAGAGCTTTCCTCCATTTTGAGGAGCCACGCTGAGCTCTGGTGGGCTTTACGCCCTCTGGTGACGTTAGGTTCACCAAGTGGGATGGTAATGACCCCTGACCCCAGACTGGTCCTTCAGAGTCCAGTTGGCTGGTGGCTGCCTCCTGGTTGGCCTTGTCTGACCTTCTGCAGCCAAGCGACCGGTAAAACTTATTGTTGTGAAAGTTTGTAAACATTGACATGAACACAAGAAAGTTAAAAATGTTCGACTTGCTGCTGTGGTTATCAGGTTCTGTGTGTTGGGATCAACCTAATTGGTGGAAAACTGTAGCTTTTCACCCTCGTGTTGCTCCCAGTGTCTGAACCCCATTAGCCTCAGGGCCCCTCTGGCCCCTCTGGCCCCCGTCTCTGGTTGTTTGACAAATAATACTGCAGAGATTCACTGACTTTGTAAAGTAACTACTGCTGTAGCTCAGCACTTTATGTTGTCATCTGTTAAATCGTCTGTTTTAATTCCAACAAAATCACTAATGTTTGTCCTCACCTGTCAGTGATCCTAATTTCATGCCTGATTTAAAGGTGTGTAATCACGTTGCGGTAAAACTAATTACATGCTGTTCACAGTGACTTTGAGTCGTGCATAATTGAGCCTCAGGAAACGAGCAGCTTGCATTGAATCCATGAGGCGAGTCGAATAATTCTCATTTACTTTGCACTTTTGCTTCGTCACGTTCTGTTGAACCGGGGAGACGTTAGACGGCGTGTTTTTGTTCATGTTCTCAGTCTCTGACCAGCCTGATGAGTCCATCACACCGCGCCTGGATCTGGAATATTCTGAAGAAACTGTAATTATTACTGACAGATTACTCTTCTCAGTGATGAAGCATGAACAGCTCTCATTACAGAGCTGTATTCAACACACCACTGCTCAGAGTAAAACAGCGAATGCATGATGCTGCTACCTTACATGCTAACTATGCTAACAGCTCGGACACATAAGCGATCAACTGAAAATATAAACCATTTCTGTCAACAAAGTAAGTAGTATGCTATATATATATATGTGTGTGTGTGTGTGTGTGAAATAAACATCAACTTGCAGGCTGTGATCTGCCTAAAGAAAAGCTGCAAACGATCTACAGCGCATCGCCAACAGGAAGTGCAAGTACCGCACCTTCCAGTTTCCAGCTTTTCAAAATTAAACTGAATAAACAACGTAAAATACACTAAAAGACTGTCAGACTGAACAATCAGTGGTGTTTGAGGAGCCAGAATAAAACCTGGTATAGTCCTCAGTCCTTAGCAAATGCATATTGATGCTAGCCTAAGTATGCCACATTTCCATAAACACAAAATATGAGCTATTTCTGCCAATAAACTTAGTTGGACAATGTAGATATAAGCTGCTACATGTGCAATAATCAATTTTACAAACTTACCAGCCACCTAAAAAAAGCTGCAAACAATCGTGGAAGCTAACATCGCTAACAGGAAGTACGAACTCCACAACTCCGGATTTTCAAAATTAAACTGAATGAACACCGTAAAATACACTAAAAATAGTGTCACACTGAACTAACAAAGCCAGTAGAGGAGTCAGAACTCGAACCTGCAACTGTCTTTATAGCCTTGAGATAAATTTACAAAGAAAAGCTGCCGGCAAAATATGAACCTCGCAGAAAGTTTGTATTTTAATATTTAAGCACTGAAGCACTTCTATTCTGATTGCTTCACTTTATAGTTATTCCTCATTTTAGTTTCCTATGTTTGCCACAGTACAAACAGAACAAAAGAAAGAGGAGAAATCGACAAGATGCTCTACGTAGCATAATGTTAATATTTGCAGCAGTGAAATTTTCCTCTGAAAAAGTGAGTTGAATCTGTGAAGCTCTTGAGAAAAACCTGCCGTTTTGGGAATCCTGCGGCTTCAGGAATAATTTACAGCGGAAACGTTGTTCAAAGCTTAAACAGCTCACAGAGAAATACTGATTTTCCAGCTGAAGTGGCTTTTTGACGCATTTTAGTTATTTTCAGTTTATTCTTATTAAACTGTGGAAAACTGCAGCTTTGAGCTGTTTGTAACAGTTTTCATGACTCAGGCTGCGGCCAGATTCCTCCAGATGATCAAATATGGCCAATAATGAGTCGGCATTTTATTTTTAGGATTCAAAATAAAGATAAACATCAAAGAGAATGGATATAAATAAACAGATGCCACACTAATGTCGAAGCTTTACAAATATATTACAGGTTCATGTAGTGTAGGGTCATTCTTTGAGGAAATTCAATGGAAATATTGCAGTTTTTTTTAATTGTTTTAAAAAAAAATTGTTATTAGATCTGTATTTAAAAACGATAACTGGCTCCATTTAGCATTTAGCCAAATTATTAAGAACTATTGTGAAGATTAAATGAAAGTGTCCCAAGAATAAACCCTTGAGGAACTCCACAATCCATATTCACCAATTCAATTCAAATTTAAATAAAAAATGTTATTGATCCGAAATTAAAATTAAATGTCAGTGTGTATCAGATTATTATCGGCAGGAAAGATCTCCTGTAGCAGTCTGTGTTGCAGTGAATCAGAAGAAGCCTCTGACTAAAGACACTCACTGAAACAAAAGTAATTTTTATTTTGTTAAATCAGATCTGAACTAGTTTAGCAGAAACTATTTTGTGTCCGAAGCCTCCTTCAGATCGACTCAAACCAAAACAGGAGTTTTAGCTGCATCGCCATTAGCATCCATTTAGCTTAACGCTTCTCCAACGCCGTCTCAGAACTGTGCTGCACTCCAAAGAAACAACATGTGTGAAATTCTGTTTAGTAAATTTACTCTTCATTGCTTTCCAGTCAGGATTTAGAGTCCAGCTGCCAGCGCCGGTCTGCAGTCGCTGAAACAGGCCTTTAAATTAACTGCGCAGAAACGTTCAGAATGCTAACCAGATGCTCAGCGTTCGCTAACCATAAAGAGCAGCTGGAAACAAGGTAAGAATGGTTGAACAGCAGATGCATAATTCCTCAGGGAGCTGTTAGAGTCTTCAAGTGCTCTCCATTTAATATGTTGTCATATATATTAATTACCCCCTACCCATAATGCCCTGACCCCCCGTGCCCCAGCGGCTCATTGATAGCGTCGGGCTGTTAGCGGTGCGATCCGGCTGAGTGGCGGCGGTGTGAGGAGGTTAACGCAGATCCACAGGCTGTGCATTAATCACTGAAAGGTCAGGCGGGGAAAGGCCGCCGCAGCAAATTAGTTCATGTGATCTGAATGCACACGAACCGCGGAAAGGTAAAGCAAAATCAATGGATCAGACGACGACTGCCTGCATTCATCAGGCTGCTCAGGCAGACGTGACCAGCGGAGGATTGTTATGTCGACTGAACTCAATCGACAGCTGTCGTTAAATGAATTAATCATTTCCTGAGGATGAAACCGAAGCGTTTCTGGTTCTGAAGGGAACCAGCCTGCAGACTCTGGACAAGTCCTCATTTTACCGTGGATGGAAAACGATAATGAAACAGCTGGAGGATAACACCTCTGGGCTGAAACGTCTCCACAACAATCAGCAGACACAAATGGAAACATTCACTTTGACAGGATGAGATCTTACAGGAAAACCATCACACTTCCATGAACAAGCTAGCATCGCTTTATGGGCTCCAGAAAACAGGATCTTCACACTTTTTAACCAAAATCATCCTTAGAAAATCAGACTTCACCACCTCAGTTCTGCTTCTCTTGATCTCCTTTCAGGATGAGCTAATTTAGGGTTCTGTCGCTTTTATGCAAATGAACTGCTGCAGGCCACGCCCCCTACATCAGTGTTCATACTTTATGAAGCAATGAGGAAAAAGAACAGTTAATGGGCTCTTTGTACCTATGGTGTTGACGTCACATCTCCAGGAGCTAATGCGGCTCATTTGTTTCCGCTTTGAGTTACTATGACTGCTAGAAAAGACTAAGTCCTATTTTTGATGCAAAAATTTAATTAATTTCCAAGCGATCCTGAATTAAGAAGATGGTGGCTTGGAAATATCTGTCGCTACCAGTTGAAGCTAAAGCTGCACAGCAAAGTTTGCAGCCTTCACTTCACTCCGGATCAGCCTAAAAATACC